GTTTTCAGTTGCAATGATTGAACCAGCGAACGGGACACAACGTTCTCCGTACATCCGTTATCAATGAGAATCTCGCACACTTTTCCCTCTATGGTGCATCGAGTGCAGAATATGGCATTCCGCTGTGTGTTAACTGGTTGTCTAGGGGCCAGGAGTATTCTCTCCAATACACAGATGACCACATCGCCTTCATCTGCCTCCACTTCTTCAACTTCATCTTCCCCCTCATTTGAGTCTTGATTCTCTACGTTGTCCATTTCTCCTTCGACGAGTTGAATCCATGGTCTGGTGGGACACTCGTTGGACTTATGTCCCGGTTGAAAACACCGGAAAAATTTGAAAGTGTTTAGCTTCGCATAAGGATTTTCTTTGCTACCTGGCCGCGGTCTCGTCGCCTTGGGGTCACTCGACTGCGAAGTAATTGCAGTTGACCCAAATGTCCCCAGCTGAGGCTTGTTGGTAGGGGTGGTCATGCGTGTCTCCGGGGCTGGCTCCATGGCTTGTTTGCGACTAGAACTGCTGCGAGCATGCCGGGTCACTTGCATTTCCGCCTTCAGAGCAAAATTAACGGCTTGTGATAGGGACCAAACCGAATTAAGTTCTAGTTTATCCTGCAAATTTTCTTTCAAACCACCAACAAATCTAGCCACTAGTTGATTCTCTGACTCATTCAAATTGTTCCTCGCGCTCAGGCGATAGAACTCTTCAGTATAGTCAGTAACACTGCGATGCCCCTGGGTGCAATGCTGATACTGAATATATAACATCTGTTCATAATCAGTGGGCAGATAATGTCCTCTAAGCAGTTGCTTCATCCGGAACCAACTTCGGATAGGCCCTTTTCCTTCTCGCCTCCGGGTCTGTAAAATCTGTTGCCACCAAGCACTAGCACCCCCTTTTAATCTACAAGCCACATATTTAACTTGTTTCTCCACCGGTATCTCCATATATTCGAAGAACGACTCAACGGCTCTCTCCCAATCAAGAAAATCTTCGATATGCAATCTTCCGTCAAAGAAGGGAATGTCTAATTTAATGCGAAATTCGCTGTTGGGTCGCTGTGGTCGCTCCATCGGTGGCCTATATGCATTCTGAAATATGACCCCTTCATTGTCAGAGTCAGAATCTTCATATTGACGTTGAGGTTCAATTTCATCCTCTGATTCGACAAACTCGGTCACCGAAGCTTGTCGCCTGCGACCCCCGGCCTGTCCGATCGGATTCCTGAGAGGTGGCTGGACTATCCGGCGTGCCCCCAGATTAGCCGTTCCTCTTCCTCTATTGGCTTGTAACTCTTGTCGTACTTCAACTGTGAATCTGTTGAAACTAGCAGCTAACTCCTCCAGTTGCTGCGACATTCTGGTTTGTTCCCTCCAGAGGGCCTCGAGGTTCCGGTCTTCGCCTAGAACGTTGCGAGGATTTCCATCCGCCATCGATTCTGCCAGGCGAGCGGCTCTGATACCAACTTGATGTGCTAGCTTCACCAAGGGATCCCGTAACCTGCAAGAAAAACGATGAAGCAGAGAAAAGATAAAAAGAACTTCGGAGTTCTAGGAATCTCAGAGATTAGTATTTCTTTTCTTTCTCTTCCAGTCCCTTCCATGGCAATATAAGCCTCAGGGTTCCTTTGCTATAATTTGTAAAGGCAACTAAAAAGCAAGTATATGCTATTGTAGCTAAAAGACAAAAGTAGTTAAGTATAGCAGCTAAGTAATTATAATAAGTAGTGGATATCTGAGAGGTGGACGCCCTCCTCCCCTGTGGCTGAATTCACGTTCATGAAGCACTGCATCAAATATATAACGGATAAATACATGCTATAAGATCGGATTAGTGCAAGAGCGTATTTGACAAAACAAGAATAAAAATATTTCTGGATATGATTAGTAATTTTTAATATTATGTATTCTGTGACGATTTATTTTGACATTCCAAAATTTAATAAATATTATGCTATTATCAAGCCTATATTCTACTACATGGGATCAGCCACTTGAATCTTTTTTCTCCTCCATTATCTCCTATTAAGAATAAAATTTACATTTAAATCTAATAAATAATTTATTTATAATACTTAGGTTTTATTTGAAATGACTTTCTTAGTGTATATTAAAACAACTTTTTAGTATAAAAATTTTAATTTTTAAATTAGAAAGCAGTTTTAAGAAACAATAAAAAAGTCATATCAAACAAAACCTTAATAATCAAAACATTGATCAAATACAATACATCTGCTCTCCTTAACGGGTTATCAGGTCAACATATAGACCAAGCAATGTAAGACTATTCTCTTTAATGTTATCTGGAACTGGAACTACTCCAACTTTTTCACATATATACTTGTTTCATATTCTATCTCTATTGCAATAATAATAATAATAATAATAAGAATTGGCTCATTAGACAGTTCAACGTACCAATCGACTATGATATCTAATAAGTTGCTTACAAGTAGTCTAAAAAATAATGCATCGTTGTCCCCAACGTTATAATAATTGGATCTAAAGTGTGTTAGATGTTTTTTTTTTTTTTTTTTTTTTTTATTAGATGTTTTTTTTTTTTTTTTTGATATTTAGACTAATTAAGATAGACTCATACACACAGTGCATAAACAAAACTCGAACCCAATGAGAAATTATTATGTGCGGAGACTGGACGCAGAATACCATCTAAAGACCAACCAGAATGGATCATGTCAGCGGTACCGAGCAATACCGAGCCATGATACTAGGCACAGGGGTGACGTGACGCATTTTAGTTGAACTCCGAATGGCATTCGGCATCCGCACAAAATAATTAATTGAACACAATACCTTTTAATTGACAGCTAAAGCTCCCAACCAACAGACAAAATTAACTGTGTGGTATATGTTGTTTAGGGTTATCAGTGCCATTAAAATTTTTAAATAAAGGCGGTATGAATCCTTTCAGATATGATATCAGTGCCATTAAAATTGCCGACCTACCCGTTAGAAGAGACGACTGAGACTATGCTAAGGCATCTTTTACTTAGCTGTTCTATCTTCTATTTTAGATTTACATATTGATATATTGTATTGATTCTTTCGAGAGCGGTGCATGCATGAAAACCGGTAGCGGTAACTAGTGTACCGTAGTGCATGGTCAGATCCCACGTGAAGCCTCCAGGTTTTTCCACGTCATCTTCTCTGCCGTTTAAACGGGAGAGATGAGGAATTCTACGCCATTCCACGCCATTCAAGGCATTTCACTGCATTCGAGAGACAGAGAGAGGCGATAGAGATCGAAAGTGATGAAGAAACATTTATCCTCCATTGCTAACAATCTTCTTCAGAGATGCGCAGAGTAACTGTCTCTTCTTCTTCTTCATTGATCATTTCCTAATTGCTATCATTCTCTTCCTATTATAAAAAGAAGGAAACTTTTTATGATATTTCCATATAATTTATGGAGTTGTTAACGTTTAGCTTTTAGAATCAGAGCTTCCTCAGGAAAATAATATGAAGAAAAGATTCTATGTAGAAGCAGGTTGTTTTATGAGAATTTACTTCTTTTTTCCAATTTATTGCGATTACTCTTGCTCCAGACAGCTTTGTTTCTGTTTTTTTTTTTCCTCCGGATAGTAATTATAATTTTTATTTGGCTACTATTTTATTTATATTTTCATGCAATTTCTAAGCTAAGAAGCCACAACAACTAAAAAAAAAAGTATTTCACCCATAATAATTTTAGAATTATTTTTACATAAAGTTATAGCCGTCCCAAACAAAAACAAATTCTTAATGAAATTTATTGAATCATACTTATATGAAGAATTCCTCAGCCCTGCGCCCCTTTAAGACAAATATTGCATGTGGTGAATGAATCTATATTTGTTTTAGTTACAGGTTCTTGATCGATGCTGATTTTGTTTAGCTATTTGAACAAGTCCAAACGAAATTTATAAAGCTCGTTGATCTTTAAAATAAACAAGCAGAAAGGTGGGCCTTTGAAGCCTCACTTGCTAATTAAAGCTTTATGGTTCGTTTGGGAAGTTCTTGAGATTTATTTTTTTTTTAGATGGATATTGTGTCGATCTTTATTTTACTTTGGTGTAATTTTCTTCTTATTTTAAAATTTTTAATTGTGGAGAGTTTTACACAACCAATATAATTTTCTTAATCTATAATATTCATAATAATCTTTTAAAAAAATCTTTTTTTTAATACTAGTCATCATAGAAAAATCACGTATTACCGGCGGATTTTCCGACGTAAGTTGTTAATTTTCTGGTGGATTTGAAAAGAGTCTGGTGGAAAAATTTTCATCGGTAAAATGAGCGTCACAAAAATTCTTCATAGAAAAAAATCTATTGGAAATATTTTTCCGATGGTTTTTAATTGCCGGAATAAGCCCGTTGAAGCTAACAGCCACCGCCTGCCCTACGCTGCCCGAACACCTGACCGCAAGCCCTCCCTCACTGCCTGCCCAAAAATCAGCCAGAAAATCCGCTTGAAAATTAGTTTGAAATATTTCAGTGTAATCCATTGGAATTCTGCAATAAAATTCGTTGGTAATAGGAGATTTTCCTGTAATAAGTCTTACAACTATTTTTTATAAATAGTTGTCGATGTCCCAAATAAACGCTTTAATTTGTTTTTCAAAACACAAGTTTGTGTGGGCTTCAAAGAATTGATATGAAGTAGTTTTAGGCTTTGCTGAGACGACTTTCTTACTGTTTTATAAAGCTGCTATAAAGAAAGTAAAATTTTAAAACGGTTGTAAATACAACTTCCTAGTATAAAATTTTGTTTAAAAACAATGATAAAATAATCATAATTTCAAAACTTTCTAATTTGAATATGCCTTGAGATACATGCCCGATCAAAGCAATTTCCAGTGAGTATCAATAATAATTCTGTAAGAAAATGGAGCCTTCATTGCTCCAATTAATATTTAAAGGTGTATTCTTTTCTTGCCTTTTGTTACAATATTAGAAACAATTATTATTTTTGATTGATAATAAAATCAGATTTTCACACATACCTGATATATATATTCAAGTCTCCATCCCTCCATTTTCTTTAACTTCCTATTGCTACATAATTATGCTTCAAATGAAATGTTTCAATGCAGAATTCTGAACACTTCAGAAGATAATCTCATCAACGAGTTTGACATCAGCTTGAAAGCCTCTGTTGATAACTACTCAAGGAGCTTGGTTGAGTTTTGCAGCTCCAAAGCAATTGAAAGAATTTGCAGCGAAATTGGAGAGAAAATTAGCGATGGAGATTTTAGCCGTTTCACTTTCGATATGATGCTGGCATGGCAGATCCCAAGCAAAACAGATGAAGAGTCCTATTTGGTTTGTTTTGTTTCCTTTCTCTGCAACTCATCGTTGTCATTAGTTAACTCATCGTTGTCATTAGTTCTTAATTATGTCATTATTTATTAATCACTTCTTAATTATATTGAGCAGGAAGGTATTGGAAAGGAAAAGGAAGATAAAAAGAAAGTTTTGGAAGGAAATGCAGGTCTGATGTATGATGATATTCCTCTCTTCTATTCAGATATAATGCCACTTCTTGTAAGTAGAGCATGAAGAATTAGACAAATTATTGTTTTTTTTTTTAAGTGAGAATTAGCATGTTATTATGTCAACTTTGTTGGCAATTAATTTGAGATCAATAGGTGGATGAAGAAAAGAACGTTGGTGAAGATTCTTTTGTATGGTTGGGACATGTTCTTCCATTGGTTGCTGATGTCGTCAATGCCCGATTTACTTTCGAGATGCTCACAGCGTCCACGGCAAACCGACTTCACTATCCTGCTTATGATAGGTTTCTCAAAGAGATAGACAAGTAAGCCTCTTTTTGGTTCTTAATCCATTTTATTATTAATATAAATGTTCAAATGTAGAAGTTATGGTTAACCTTCTCTTAGGTTTCGTTTGGGACGACTTTCTTACAGCTTAAAAATTTTTATACTATAAAGCTGCTTTAAGAAGTGGTAAATAAGCCGTCCCAAACAAAGCCTTAGAGTCCATTTAAGGTGTTTGTAACTATCTATAAAACCTACATGTTATATAACTACTGCAAGAAAAATAGATTTTTTATAGTTATTGTGGATATTATAATTTTTTCTCTTTTGAAATAGTTAGATAATTATTTTATTATAGCAACCACACTTGGGTTGACTTGATTATAAGATATTATTTCCCATTACAAAAAATCTTTAAAAACACCTAAATAGTAGTTAAATAGAATTGTAGTTTAAATTTGAAAAAACTACTCCCAGGGCAAATTATTAGGTGCAGACACCGGACAGAGAGAATCATCCAGATTTCTCTCTTTCTACAGTAAAAGCGCAGTCAAAGCTCAGCTGTTACAGTAACTGTGTTTTTACTATAGACAGAGAAAAATCTGGTTGATTCTCTCTGTCAGGTGTCCGAACCTAATAATTTCTCCTCAAATAGGCTCTTAATTATCTTTATCGGATGTAAAGAAAGGCAAATATCCTTCATCTTAATTCTAATTTTGACAGATATATAAAGTACCTTCAGAAACAAAGATCACCAACAGGATTTGAACTTGCAGAAGATGAATTCATCTTGCATGTAGAAGGAGATGGAATGACTCCAAGAGTTGTTCGTCACATAGGCTCAACAAGTTGGCCAGGCCAGTCCTAATTTATCCCCTGCACCAATTTAAATTCCATATTAGGCTCTTATTTGCAGTGGATTTCAATGGTGCATGACAATTGTTCTTTGCTATGAATGTTTTTCCAGGCCGACTTACTCTAACAAATCTTGCACTCTATTTTGAGGCTTCTAAATCAATTTCATATGAGAACGCCTTTAAAATTGATCTTTCGAGTTCTGATATAGATCATCAAGTGAAAGCAACATCTACTGGACCTTTTGGTGCTCCCTTGTTTGATAAAGCCATAACATATGAGTCTTCACTACTGTAATAATGCCCAACTTTAGTTCAATTTTCATTTATCTGATGAAGATTTTAAAGCAAATCATGCATAAATTTATGCAGCGCAGAACCAGTGACATTAGAGTTCCCAGAAATGACCAGCTCCACCCGTAGAGATCATTGGTTTGCACTCATAAAAGAAGTGATATTAATGCATAGATTCATGTCAAAATTCAATGCAAAGTACCCTGAAACAGAAGCCTTCTTGCAAGCTTGGGAAGTGCAGGCCAGAACAATTTTGGGAGTAATGAGGCTTCATGCAGCAAGGGAAATGCTTAGAATGGCTCCACCTCCTCCCATCAACTTCTTAATCTTCACTTTGCTTGATGAAGTTCCCAAAGGGGATTATGTGTTGGAAGAACTGTATAATAGTTTGAAGAAGACAAAAGGAATAAGCTGTTGCAGTGCTGCCTCCATACTTAAGAGTCTGAATCTGGCAATTCCAATGGTGGATGCAACGAATATAAAAGGTGGTGAGATAACACCAAGCAGCCCAGAAGCAGAATCATTAGCATCACTGGAGACGACCGTTGAATTGGTGAGAGAGGAAGCCAAGGAGGCTAGCATCGCCAATGCTACTGTTGGGGGGATTAAAGAAGAGGGAATCACTGATAGCATTATTTTTCTTACAGTAAGAGTTGGTTCTTAGCATGTTATATGATAATGTTTTATAACACCTTCAATTATGGGGGAGAAACTTACATGAGAGAAGTTTTGTTAAGAAATTTGAGTATTCATTTAGGCTTCGTTTGGAACAGCTTTTTCATTGCTTTCTAAAATGATTTTTTAGTACAAAAATTTTAATTTATTTTTTTTTTAATTAAAACACTATTTTAGAAAGCATTGAAAAAGCTGTCCCAAACAAATCCTTAATCTCATGAAAGATAATTGTAAATTTTGATCTCATAAAGCTGCTGGTTGACTTTGAAAATATCATTGTCGGGGAAAATTGTGAAGTAAGCATGCTACCAGTTTATCTAATTTCTTTGTAGGATATTTAAAAACTGATCCATCTTATATTTATTTGCAGGAGCTACTGAGCCCACTTAGAAATCTAATACCTTGGTTCCAAAGAATCATTTCATGGGAAAGGCCAACAGTCTCTTTAGCTTCATTTATCATAACTCTCATCACTATATACAAGTAAGCACCAACTATCCAACTCCCCTTTTTAAACCTTTCTGGAACAATTCAAATCATGTTCATGGCTTCCAACCAGGGAATGGTTTGGTCCGGCCCTCGCCGCACTCCTACTGTTTGTCGTCGGAATGATGATGTGGGCAAGGCACAAAAGACTTGGAGAGGTATCTGAAGAGGTTGTGGTTTCCCCTCCCTCAGATAAAACAACAGTGGAAAGCATAGTATCAGCCCAATATGGCCTCAAAAACTTTGATGAAATGGTTAAGACAGTAAACATCAGCATACTAAAAATCAAATCCATCTTTGTTTCAAAGACTCCAAAGGTGAGAAAGTCACTCATTTTCATTAGTCTTATCTTAGCAATTTATGAAATCTGATTCTTCTTTTTATTTATAGACTGAAAAGATCTGATTTGGTTGCAGCATTCAAACATGGCAATGAGTGGGCTGAGTGTAGTTGCACTTCTGTTGATGATTGTGCCCTTCAAATTTGTTCTGATTGGATTGGTTACATATATTTTCATGCCTAAGTTTCAGAACACAAGGCATGAGAAGAGCAAGCAAGGAAATAGAAGGCTGAAGGAGTGGTGGGAGACAATACCTGTAACACCGGTTCACATAGTCAGCTGCCCACCTTGATTAGATCTAAGAAATATTTTTTCTTCTTCAATCAACTTATAATCAGCGTGGAACTTTATAAATGTTCAGAGTATAAGTTCTGACAGATACAATATCATCATTAGGAAAATTATTAGGTGCAGCATCCGGATTCGTTCGGATGCGAATCTGGATGCATTAGATCTAAGAAATATTTTTTCTTCTTCAATCAACTTATAATCAGCGTGGAACTTTATAAATGTTCAGAGTAGAAGTTCTGACATATACAACATCATCATAAGGAAAATTATTAGGTGATGCGTCTGGATTCGTTCGGAGGCGAATCCGGATGCATTAGATCTAAGAAGTATTTTTTTTCTTCTTCTATCAACTTAGAATCAGCGTGGAAATTTATAAATGTTCAGAGTTTAAGTTCTGACAGATACAACATCATCATAAGGAAAACTATTAGGTGTGGCGTTCAGATTTGTTCGGAGGCGAATCCGGCTGCACCACATCACCCGGGTCCCGGTGCATCTAGGTGATGTGGCGCATCTAGATTCATCTCCGGACGGTCCGGACTTCACATGTAATAATCTCTCCATCATAAGCCAGTTTGATACAAATTACCTTTAAAAAGGAAATTGAAAGTTTAATGTGAGGCAAGTGTTCAATCAAATATAAAACAGAATAACAAATGACTAGCAATTTATACAAAAATATTATTAATTTTGTTGTTTTTATTAATTTAGTAGGAACTTATTATTTCTTCATCATAAGTTAGGAATTTATTAATAATAGTTCGATATTTCTTCTTTCTATAATATGTTATTTTTTAGTCTGATAAGAATCGAGGAACATTGAAGCAAAGGCTTTCAAGAAAAATCCACAGCACAAAGCAACCCATAAAAGGGTCTTTGATTATTGAGTTAGAAATTCAACTAGAATTTCCATAGTCGATTAATTCCAAATCAGAAAAATTCTGCAACACAAAGGTCCACAGTAGAGAAAAATAAATTCAAAATCGTCCAGCAAAATACCTTCGCATAAAGTTTATGCCGAAGAACCTCACAAGAGAGATCTCAATGCAGTGTAGCTCCAAAAAATACAAAAACAAACAAAGTTTAACAGAGTCAGAAAATTTACTAGTGCGCCAAAAATATGAGAGGAAGCAAACAAAAATAGCTGTTGAATTTCGTTGTATGATGCTCATCTGTTAGCTTTGGCTTTAATTACTCTCTTGACTTTAAGGAGAACAGTAGCTAGCATAGTTGAAATAGAGTTTCCAAAGAATCTTTTGTTTCTCTCATGCCATAAGAAGTAGCTTAGGCCTGATTCATAAAATAATAAGAAAACTATCTCGAACGAAACTTAAGTCGTTAATGAAATATAGCAGTTGTAGAACAGTTAGACACAACAGTGCTTTTTATGTTCACAGAGACAAACCATACGGTTCTACCCATCCAGTGTCCGCACAAAATAATTTCTCCAAACATTGGAGATAATACATATATATGCCTGATATGTATATTTAATAATTTATATAGGCATTCATTTCAATAACAAGTTGAGTCTTGAAACACCTAGAACCATCTCAAACTCCAGCCCCAAAAAGAATTAAAAATCTATTTAAAAATATAAAAAATTTTAAGCCCCACAAAGTACACATACTTTACAATTTAATGGCAAATAGACTTCCAAGTTTATTCGAGAAGACTGCAATTTTTCATAAAGATGATTAAGGTTTCATTTGGGATGACTTTTTATTGCTTCTTAAAGTTACTTTCTATTGCAAAAATTAAAACAATTTGTACTAAAAGGCTGCTTTAAGAAGCTGGAAATAAGCCACCCCAAATGAAGCCTAAGTCTTGGTTTGGAACGAATTTCTTGCTGCTTCTTAAAGTAGCTTTCTAGATTCACCAGTAGCCTAAAGAAGAATGACTTTTTAAAAAGCTAACATGGAAGCTATAATATATATATATATTTGAACAAGAATTTTCTAGCATCTAAAACATACTAAAAGATCTTTATGCAAAAAAAAAAAAAAGCTTGCTATCATAATTGATACGTCATCACAAAATTAGCTTGATCGGGCACGAATCTCGTGGCAAAAGCTAGTTGGAGACTTCAAAAATTAAATCCGGGAAAAAAACTGTAACAAAGAAGCCTTCCTCTATACACCACATCTGATTATCCGAACTTTAATGTGATGCCGTAAAGGATCTGCGTGATGCCTAGAGGAAGAAATCGCAAGCAATGGATCAGGGAAATATCGAGCTGATATGCTCAAGGTTTTGTATATTGATAAAGATGAAAATCTGCTTACAATTTTCTAGGCATTTGCTATATGTAATACTTTCTATTAAGTGACTAATACTATAAAAAAAAAATTGCAGAAATAAAACAAACGAGTGTAGCAGCTAACGAAAATAGTATAGGAGGTAGTGGAGAGCGTGTCTGACGGTTAGCCGTGGTAGCTTGTCTCACGGGTATAGCATAGTACATTAGTCCTCCTCGGGTTCAGAAGAGCTCGACTCAAACAAGCTAAGAGTTATGACGCCGTCGTCAGGAGGAGTATAGGCTCAAATATCCGACACATTAAAGGTCGGTGGGGTGTTGCAACCATCAGGCAATGCAACAGAGTAAGCATTGTCGTTGATTTTTGTTGTAATAGGGATGGGGCCATCTTGCGACGAGACAACTTGGAGTAGGTGCCGGGTGGAAATCGTTCTCGACGCATCCTTACCATGACGAGATCTCCAACATAAACAAACGCTGGTGGTGGCATTTATCTACTGCCTCTTTGTACCGTTGATTGGACTTGATAATTGGTGGCGAACCTCAGATAGCATCTCAGCATATTGTTCGGTGAAATTCGTGGCAGCAGTAGATTTACATTTAGGCAGGATAGAAATGTCGAGAACTATATTAGGATGCTTGGTATAGATATGCTAAAAGGAGCCTTACCCGTAGTTCTGTTTGTCATTGAATTATAAGCAAATTTCGTCTTGCTCAACACTTCTTCCCATTGTCGATGGTGCTCCTGGACCAAGCACTTTAGCATGTTGCCCAATGTGCGGTTGACGACTTTAGTCTGACCGTCCGACTGAGGACGATATGCCAAGCTAAGGCGTAAATCTATGCCCAATCGTTTCCACATCTCTCACCAAAAGTGGCTTATGAATTTCACATCACAGTCTGAAGTAAGGCTTCGAGGTATTACATGAAGGCGAACGATTTCCTAAAAAAAAATAGCAATCACTATTGCATTGGAGGTCTTTTTTCAAGAGATAAAATGAGCCATTTTTTAAAACCTGACGACGACCACCATGAAAGAATCATTTCCCTTCTTAGTTCTCGGCAGCCCAAAATGAAGTCCAAACTGAGTTCTTCCCATATAGAATCCAGAATGGGTAGTGGCATGCATGTAGATACCGGTATTTTGAGCACCTCCTTTATAGCTTTGGCAAATGGGACAACTGTCAACTAGACGAAACACATCGCCACGAATCCTGGGCCAGAAAAATCGTGTTTGGAGTTGGCGTAGCGTGTTATCCCTTCCCACATGAGCTGCAAGTGCTCCACCGTGAGCTTCCGGAATTAAGTGTTGACACCACAAGGATACAAGGATGCATAAAAGGTTTTGTTTAAACAGGTATCCATGCCCAATAGAATATTCATCGACTGTTGGCTGCTCTTGGCATTGACTCCATATTGTACTAAAATCGGGATCGGATGCATACAGATCTTGAGGCAAGTCAGGCCCGTTATTTTTGTTTGTAGTGTTAGCAATATACTCCTTTTCCGGCTTAAAGCGTCAGCCACCTGATTGTCCGCCCCGGGTTTGTGTTTAATTGTGAAGGAGAACCTTTGTAAAAACAATAGCTAACGAGCATGCATGCGATTGATTGTCTTCTGACTATTGATATATTGGAGAGCCTTGTTATCTTTGCAGAGTATGAACTCTTGGTGAAGTAAGTACTGCTCCCACTGTTTCAAGGCTCGTATAACAGCGTAGAGTTCTTGCTCGTATGATGATCACTTTTGTCGAGAAAGGCATAATTTCTCACTAAGGTATAACTTTTTAAAAAGCTAACATGAAAACTATAATATATATATTTTTGAACAACAATTTTCTAGCATCTAAAACATACTAACAGATCTTTATGCCAAAAAAAAAAAATAAATAAAGCTTGCTATCATAATGATTTTAAATAAAACATTAACAAAATTATAGCCATCCTATAAATAGTCAAAAAACTGTAACAAAGAAGCCTTCCTCTATACACCACATCTGATTATCCGAACTTTAATGAAGCTCTCAAACCTCAGACAAACCAGCTCAAAAACACATCTATCTCCTCTTCTCAACCCATTCCCATGAACGAATTCCAACCAACCAGAATAAATGAAAAACCTCTCCGTACTGCCTCTCTCCGCCTTATGACTCAGCCTCACCGGCCATTTCCTCCCTTTTTCATCTATAAGAACAACTTTCCCCTTCCCCCCGTCCTTTGAAAGCTCCGTAAGCTTCTTACATTTTTTAGGAATGTTCATATATGGCTTCGATAGGTTACTGGAGTGTATGACAGCCTCAAAAATATTAGCTTTCTCTTCATCTTCCTCGTTGCACTTCTTCTCCTCCTGTGATGGGTAGTTCTGAATCTCTGTTGTGTTTAAGCCAAAGATACGGAAGTTGAAGAGCATGCCGCCATTGTAATCGAAGGTGAGGAAGTATCCGAGCTTTAGATGGTGAGCTCTTGCTAGTTTTTTCCAACCTTCGCCAGTGAAGCAGAAGAAGCCTTCAGGATCTTTGTTGAGATTTACTTTCCATGACTTGGCTTTCCGGTTTATGAGCTCTGCTATTTGTTTGTTCGGTTTCTCTATTTGAACATGGTCGCCGAAGCTCCGAGGAAGTCTCTGTAAAGTATTTTAGAGGAGAGAATAATTGCATAAGTTTTGTAAAGAAAAAGCTTTGATGTATCAATTGTAGGTAAAAAATATTGAGAAAGCAAGAAGCAAGGATAGTGACATATGTAGAAATCGTACGCAAGCAAGAAGATGAACAGAGACGAGATGGAAAATAAATGAATATTGTATCTTGATTATCGGTATGAGAGTTACACAGATATATATAGATTTATTAGAAACACATACACCGCTACAGGCTATTATTTTAATTCTGATATATGAGTACTGGTGTGGCTAACAACATAGACCAGCTGCTTCATGAAATTTGAATCAGGGAAGAGCAGCCTGAAGAAACTGTAACCAACGAAACCACTTGAGGAATCAATGGTTTCTATCTTGGGGCTTAATGTTTCTTTCTCTACCTTCAGCCGTGACATTCTTCTTCTTCTTATATTTGAATTTTACCTATGGAACACTAGTTAGGAGAGAAGAAACAAGGATGGGATGAAAAACGACAGAGAAGGGAGAAAAGCTTCGCAATTAATGGAGGTGAATAACTTGAACCTGCGAAGTCTATGAGCGCTGGCTTTCTGCATATGCGCCTAGCCTTGGAAGATGGAAATGTTTATGAGCTCAAGAGACAAATTACACTGTAACGTATCGATATGTGGGACTGACATCTGCATGCTTCAAAAGTTAAATCAAAGTTAAATCAAAGTTAAATCCAATGACATGATATAAATTATAATTAGTTAAATATATTTTAATGAAATAAGAGGGAGACCGTGCGGGATGAAGGGAGGAATAGGTTTCATTTTAAGTGGGTGGGGCCAATTCTGTGAGGCGTACGCCTCACCTAGAATTGCGTAAGCCTCGAGGCGTTTTTTGGTCAAATTACGCAAAGGCGCGCCTTGAGGCGCGCCTCTAATTGCGCAATTTTAAACAGAGTATTTGAGTAATTCATATTTTTATTTGTAGTCATAAAAACACTAATTTTTTAAAATCATTCATTTTCTTCTTTGGGAAGTTGAAACTCTAAAAATGAAAATAGAAGTTGAAAAGATTAATATCAATTAAAAAACATCCAATATTAAAAAAAAATATAATATTATTTGATAACCAAAATATATAAATAGATTACAAGTTATAAGAGATACGCCATCATGATTTAACCAAAATGTTGAAAGTGCTTGTAAGCCCTAAAATAATTATATAAAAACATCCAAGATACAAGATCATGATTTCAATTGAAGATTTTCAAGCCATTTTTCTTACACTATAAACGATGCCCTAGCTTAGAGTCGCCCCATTCAATCCTCCACTTGTGTTGCCCAACTTCGTTTGCTTTGTCGGTCAAGGCTGTCATCACCGTGCAGGCCCCCGTCACTACTCGTCGCCTATCTGGTGTTTGGTTGGTTTCTGACTCCTATTTCTTCGTCCATGGTGCCTGTCGCTTCAAGGATGACGGTTTCCCCTTTTAATCCTTGTGGGGCTTTCAAACCTGCGACTATGGTCAAAACTCCAAGTTTTTTTGGAATTACTAGTACACTTAATCAATTTCTCACTCATTCAAAGAGGTAGTATCCAGTAATACTTCATCTCCTTCTTCGACTATTTCGTTTGTTTATACTTTCTTTAAGGGAGCTCCGACAGTTATGTTTTCTGAAGAATATGTCGTGAAACTTGTTGCTCCTTTTGCATTTACTCTTGTGGGAAAGTTTTCGATTCGTCATCCCAACTTGGATGTTATATGTACATTTTTTTGTTAATCTTAATATATCATGTTCGTTTTCAATCGGATTATTGAATGTAGGGTGTTACTATTTGACACGACCCGAAAACCCGACTCGAATCCGACCCGAAAATTTCAGGTTAGGGTCAACCCGAACCCGAAACGGGTCGGGTTCGGGTTCAACATTTCGACCCGTTTCAAAAATCGGGTGGGGTTCGGGTTTACCCTTTGACCCGAAATTGACCCGAAAGTGACCTGATTTTGACCTGAAAATCCGGTTTTGACCCGGCAACCTGAGATTGACCTGATTTTGACCCGAAAAGAGGATATTGACCCATTTTTTACCCGAAAATTAGCAATTTTTTGTTGAAAACAGGTCATTCGGGTCAGGTCGGGTTGACCCGGACCCAAAGCGGGTCGGGTTCAGGTATGGAAAACCGACCCGTTTTTAAAAATGGGTCGGGTTCGGGTTGACCCGAATAGTGCTGGTTCAGTTTTGGGTTCGACCCGAACCCAACCCGTGACCCGAAATTGACACCCCTAATTGGATGACCGTCATGTTGCTATTCAGCTTTCAAACGATTTAGACAATAGCAGAGTTTTTGCTAGAATGTCTTATTACAAGAATAGTTGTTAAATGCTTTTTTTTTAAGTGGGCACCATTTTTTTATTTTAAAGAAGAACGCTCTATTGTACTTGTATGAATTTCTTTCCATAATTTGAGCTTACATTTGTTTGACCATCATGTTTTACAAGCTTTAGTTGCAGTTTTTGGAAAGCCTTCGCAAACTGATCATGCAACGATTTTCCGATCCAGGTCGTCTATGGTGCGTGTTTTAGTTGAATATGATATAAAAAAAACATCTTAAGAATGTTTGGATTAGCCAAAAAATTTTGGGATATTTTTATAAAGTCAAATTTAAAAATGGTCATGTATTTTGTAATCATTGTAAAATTCATGAGCATGCTATAAATGAGTGTTTTATTATTCGTCTTGATTTAAAAAAGGATCATATTAAAGTTAAGATTGTTGATTCTCTGAATCCTAAGTGCACTCCTATTGTTGGTAGCGATACGATCAATGCTTGGATCCCTTAATTAATAATATATCCGATGAGACCAATAATCTGGATCAAGTCATTGCTCATAATTGTGAAGTTAATGAGTGTCCTAATCAAAAATAATTTTCCTATGTGAATGAAGATTTGGCTAATTTGGATAAGGTTGATGGCTTTTTGAAGAAGAACTAGGAACCGACTCCTTCTAACAGTACCGATGTCTCCAACTTAATTCCTATAATTTGTATCCCTATTTTTTCTTCTTTCGCTGATGTGTAAGGAAAAGAAGAAAAATAAAAAGAACAATATGAAGAACATCTAATAAGCTGATGTCAGAACCACTAGATCTATTATTGTACTTAACTTGATTTCTAATGCTTAGATATATCATGGTGATGGTTTGGAGTTGCTAATATTCAGTAATTGGTTTCTTTTGTGTCGTGTTATCTAACCCCCTTTTTTTTTAAGTGGTTTGAGATGGGTTTAATTAGCTTTGACTGCATACAATTGTCCAACGTTTGTGAAGTTGCTATACAACTGCTCATCTTTTCAATCTGATTACTTCAGTTTGGTTTAGTCTAATTCTTTTTTATGGTTGTGATTTTGGAACTTGTTAGTGGATAGTTTAAAAGGAGGTTGATATTCTGAATTGATGTTTTAGATGCATTTTATTTTCATTCATCATCAAAATATTTATACAATAACTAGACACTATAGTGCATAGATACAAATTAAAATAGAGTAAATAAATAAATAATCATAGTTATACAAAAATAAAAAATAAAAAACTTATACAGACTTAGACAAATAAGAACTTCGGACTATAACTACTCAACCAGCTCTTTCCCCTTTACCATTTTCCTAACTTAAAATAGAATGCAAAATAGGTATGAGTCAATACAGTCACACTCTAGAATCTATATTGGAAGAATTATATCTATATTTCATTTTAGCCATTTAACTAGAGTTTGCCTATTAACAACATAAAGAAATATGATTATATTTTTTCTTGTCCAGAGCCTCATATCATGAAATCCTTAGCATTTCCTGAAATCATGTAAAATCATATAATGAGCACATAGCCCAGCAAGTAACTAAAATCTTATAATTGAAATCTATATAAGATAAAAGAGAATAATATGGTTTTTCTAAATTTTGAAGGGGGCACAACACGTTCCCATTAGCACCCCCCCCCCCTCCCATTAGCCCCCCCCCCCCCCCTTCTGCCCACTGTTGGTATCAATATTCAGATATTTAATAAGTGTATCTTAAGAATATATTGCTCCTACTCTTATGACTTTCAATTAGTCACCCCTTATAACAACCAATTAGTGTTCTCCCAATAACTCCCCTTAAATCACATGAATCAGTCGCCCTAACTCCTTATAACTCTCAATCAATCTCCAGCTTCTTATGTCTCTCAATCAGTGAATCACGTGGATCGGTGGAATCACGTTGAGTTATCATATCATGTATTTGACATCATTCAATTCTTCATTTAAAATATAATTAAATCATATCAAATCATTCTGAATGATCAAATCTATAACATATTCAAAGTTACATGATGAGAGCTTATGAAATCAGGAGATAATATATTTTTGATAGATTTTGGAGATGAAAAATTCATATGAATATTGATTATGAATATATATAACAATGCTATGTGATATAATTCTGTGGTGGTAGAGTTTGTGTTTAATTTTTAGATTAATATAAATATTTAGCACACAGAGATATAAGAGATAAAAATTTTATGTGTTGAAAACCGAAGAAGAGGAAAAATCATAATACTTGGCCTAGTTATAATAATTCACAATATAATTATAATATAAGTATATGTTCTTCTCCCAAATTAAAGAATATAAGATTATATAATTGAGAATATTTAACTAATTTCAGTTATAGAGATTATAGAAGTTGGGTATTTTTAAAAGGGTGATTGAGTTCAATGAAGGGGTTGGATGTCAGTGATTAGAAGAGAATAGTAAGGTCATATAAGTCAACAATGGAAGTGATGATTTTTGATAGAAGTCATTAGCTCTGAACAACAGAAAATGTAAGAGTGATTTGGCTCTCTCAACTCTAAAATCTCTCTGATGTAGAAAAAATTCTTTTTATAGCTATTTTTATAGGGGTATTTTAATAAAATTGGCCATAATAAAGACACTTCAATGAAAAATTCATATGAATTCTCTTAATCATTGGTTATTTATCAAGTGTTTGAGCATTAATAATGTTAAAATTAAATAATATTAAGCTTGTTGGATTCATCTCATCGATTTATTTGATTTGATTATAAGCCTATATGATTTGGAGAGATAATTAGAAAGATAGTTAATATGTAACTTATGAAATTAATGACATATATAATAAAAATAAATATATATATATATATACGCATGGATACGCGGTAGATCTGATAATTAGCCGCCCTAATACACAAGCTGCCAGCCGAACATGCGGAGGCTGCGGGACGGAATTCAATTTGCGTCCGAAATATTGTTAATCAAACATGCTTGAGTCCGCTTCTCTGTTTCCACTACTCGCCTCTCGTCCTTCAGAGGTCACGACTGTATTCCTTCCCTCCTCTTCTCTCCTACTCAGTTATCTACACCGCCCATCGTCCCTCAATTGCCCCCAAATTCCTCCCCGAAGGTTTGCGAAAATTCGCTCTAAACCTCAATGATCAGTTGAAAACTTGCTTTGGAGCATGAATCTCCGGCCGCTTGCGAGATCTAAATTTTGCTGAGGAGAAGAGTATCTTCAGTCTGTTACCCTGCGGATGTAAATCTCTCTCTAGCAGCTTATTCTTGGCTGCCTGGGTGTTTTTCCATGGAGCACAATCGTGTTATCCCTGCCCATATGCGCCGACAATCCGCCTGCATGAACTTCCTTAATAAAATGTTGCCTCCACAATGAAGATGGCACACAGAGCAAATGCCCCTTGAATAGAAAACCATGTCGAATAGAGTAATCATCTGCCGGTTCTTGTTTGCAACACTTAGCCCAGTGCTCTTTAAAAAAATCGTCTCCTGGATACAGTTCCGCCAAGCACGCCAAACCCGAGAATTCGGTTTGCAACTGTGTGATCAGCATAGCCCTTCGGCTCAACGCATCCGCGACAGTGTTTTGTGCTCCACTTTTGTGCTGTAAGACAAAACTGAATCGCTGCAGGAAAATAACCCAGCGAGCATGCATTCGGCTAATGTTTTTCTGTGAATTAATGTACTGTAAGGCCTTGTGGTCACTGCATAATATAAAATCCTGATGTAATAAATAGTGCTCCCATTGTTTTAAAGCCCTCACCACTGCGTACAGCTCCTGTTCGTAAACCGTCCATTTTTGTCGGGATGGACTTAATTTTTCACTAAAGAATTCCACAGGTTTTCTCTCTTGAGATAGCACTGCCCCAATGCCCACCGTAGATGCATCTGTATCAACCGTGAAAGGTTTGTTAAAATCAAGTAGAACCAAAACCGGGGCGGAAGTTAAAGCCAATTTGATTGCCTTAAAACTCTGCTGTTGTTCCTCTGTCCATGAGAACTGCGGCTGTTTCAGGATATTGGTGATTGGAGCCATTATGCTGCTAAATCCCCGAATGAACTTCCGGTAGAAATTTGCTAATCCATGAAAACTTCGGATATCAGTCAAATAGCGGGGGGTCGGCCAGTTCTCTATGGCTTCCACCTTTCTAGGATCAACTCGTATTCCCTCAGCTGAAATCAAGAACCCGAGAAAGCCCACCTGCTCAGTAGCAAGCTTGCACTTGGACAAATTTAGAAATAATTTATTCTTCCTTAAAGTTTCGAACAGGCTCCTTAGATGTTGGAAATGTTCCTCTCGGGTTGCACTATATACCAATATGTCATCAAAATAGACGACGCAGCATTTGTTCAGGAATGGCTTAAGCACTTCGTTCATCAGTCTCATAAAAGTGGCCGGGGCATTGCACAACCCAAACGGCATGACTTTCCACTCGTAGAGTCCTTGACGAGTTTTAAAAGCTGTCTTCCATTCATCCCCACTTCGAATTCGGATTTGGTGATATCCGCTGCGCAAATCCAATTTTGAAAATATAATTGCTCCGGATAGCCTATCCAATATGTCCTCGATCCTCGGCATAGGGAAACGGAACTTCACTGTGATTCTGTTGATAGATCTACTATCCATGCACATCCTCCAAGACCCATCCTTTTTAGGTACCAACAATGCCGGTACTGCACAAGGACTCACACTCGGTTGGATCAAATTCTTTGTCAGCAGCTCATCCACGATTTGTTACAGGGCCTGGTGTTCACTTGGACTCATTTTGTAGTGTGATAGATTTGGCAATGTTGCTCCCGGTATTAGCTCAATTTGGTGTTGAATAGCCCGTATAGGTGGCAGCTCGCTCGGTAATTCCTGTGGGCACAGATCTGCAAACTGCTGAAGCAGCAACTGAACTTCTGGAGACTCGATCACCACATCATTGTCGCTGTTTGGCTCTTGCACCACCAACATCATCAAAGAATTGGACTCCCGCCACATGTTGAGTAGAGTCTTCTCTGAAACTATGGATAAGGCAGTCTTTGGGCTTGTCTTACTCACTTCGTTTTTCGCCGTACGTGGAAGTAGCCTCAATTTCCTTCCCTTCCAATCGAATGCGTACGTGTTAGCCCGACAATCGTAAATAGCCCCTACGTCGAACTGCCACGGGCGTCCGAGAATAAGATGACATACGTCCATCTCAATCACGTCACATAATACTTCGCCGACGTAGTGACGACCAATAGAGAATGCTACCTTACACAATTCGGTCACTGAAATTTCCACACCCTTTTTAACCCAACTAATTTTTTAAAATTTAACGTATAAATCTATATATTTATTTATATATTATTGTAATATCTAAAACACATAAAATCATATGGATGAAATAATATATTATTTTTAAATAAATTATTGATATTAATTTTTTTAATATAATTTTGGTGTTAATTTTGGTAGGTCAAATAAATATAAAAAATTTGGTGTTAAATATATAAACATATAAAATTTTATAATGCAATTGTAAATCCCCCCTTTTTCATTTATAAAAAGGATTAATCAATATTTATTTTCTTTAAGAAAAAAAGGAAGGGGACACAATCAGATTGTAATAATTAAAATATTATGTCATGATTAAAAATTGGCCTAGAAAGATCTCAAATTATTTGATATGCTTTAAAATTAGTGTAATATATTAATAATCAATGAAATTTTATATCAGATTGGACATAACCTAGAGTTTTTTGACATGATCCGAAACACGACCCGAGCCCAACTCGGAAAAATTGGGTTATGGTTAAACGGGTCGGGTTCGGGTTCAACAAATCAATCCGTTTTAAAAATTGGCTCGGGAACGGGTCGACCCAGCAACCCGAAATTGACACGAAAACTTGTATTTGACTAGAAAACCCGAGATTGACCCATTTTTTACCCGAAAATTGAAGATTGACCCGCTTATTGACCCAAAAACTAGCAATTTTGGGTCAACCCTGGGTCATTCGTGTCGAGTCGGGTTGACCCGGACCCGAATCGGGTCGGGTTCGGGTCCGAGAACCTGACCCGTTTTTCGGGTTCGGGTTGACCAGAATAGTGTCGTGTCAGTTTCGGGTTCGACCCGAACCGTTGACCCGAATTGACACCCCTAACCTGGACCTTCTTCCTCACAAGATTTTGCAGGTTCTCTTTATTCAGAGAAATTATTGTGTGCGGAATCTGAATGCATTCGGAGACGAATCCGGATGTGCCACATCACCGGATGCATTGGGCCCCGGTTATGTGGTATGTCCGGATTCGCCTCCAAATTAAACACGTTCGGATTCCGCAAACAATAATTTATCCTTTATTCAGCACACTTGCACAAAGAAATGATAATTTTTGAGTTTTCATTATTCTCTTGTGAAATAAGCTCCCGTATGCCATGAATAGCTTTGAATTTCAATCTCATTGATGTCTAAAAGGATTCATTTGAGATGACTTTCTTATTATTTTTTAAAATAATTTTTTAGCACAAAATTTTAATTAATGTAATAAAAAGCTGCTTTAAGAAGTCGCAAAAAGCCATCTCAGATAAAACCTAAGGCTTCGTTTGGAAAAACTTTCTTACTACTTTCTAAAATAAACTAAGAAGCTATTTTAGAAAACAGTACTATGGATACTCTATTGAATTGTTTCAAAGCTAGTCTTCCGATGATGCACTGCATGGAGGGATGTACATGAGCCACTAGAACGGGGAATTATTCTGTCCAGAGTCCGAATGCAAAGAACAGTTCGGATTTGCTGCGTATTTTTGTGTATTTGTAAATACACATTAAATACCCAGCAAATCCTCAGTTATAAGTATTTGATGAGTTTTTTTCTTAGTATTTGTTAAGTATTTATTGAATATTTGCCATATTTTACTAATTTGTTTGGTATTTATTACTTATTTACTGTGTATCTTAGCAATCCTAAATAGTCTCTACATTTGGAGTCGACACAGAATAATTTATCGGAATGTGAAATTATTCTGACATGAAAGAGAGAACTATTAGCACTTGATGGATAGCAGGAAGATTGATGAAGAAATGTGAGAAAAATGATGGAATCCCTCTCATGATGTCTGTGCAAACAAAGCCAATTCCAGGAACTCGAGCAGTGCCAAGACAATGGCTTCGGCCAGTAAGATACTCTATCACTCTATTGAATTGTTTATATTATAATATCTTTCAAATTCTTCTACCAATTCACGTGATGTTGACTCAGTACATTGAGTAGATTCTTTGGAGGTCCACTAACATCTATGTTGCTTGAATGCTTTTATTGAATTTAAGGGACTTTGGATACAAGATTTATGCAGGATTTGAATAGGATTTAAGTTACATCTTGGCATACATAAGAAAATGATATGTCGTAATTTATTCGTAAATCTTATAGTTTGGTGGATTTATGAGATTTGACCAAAAGATATGCGAAAGGGGAGAAAGATCATTGCCTTCGTTGCGAGCTCCTATCCTGACTTTCAACGCAACAAGAACAACGTCATTGGAGGATGCCAAGAAGCTTCTTTAACCATTCTTTCAAGACTCTACTTCTCTTTATGCACACGAAGCGGAAGTAGCAAAGAAGCACAAGAAGCTAAAACATCAATGAAGAAGCAATGAAGCATGCGAAGGGGAAGCAAGCCCTTGACAAGCCTAAGGAGGTCATAAAAGAGAATTTGTGATGTAAATCCGCTAGTAAAGAATAATTTTTGTTGGAAATCAATAGGATTAAAGTTATGAAAATTAAATCATCATTTTTTTAATATATTTTTTGTCCGTAAACAATCAAATTAAGTATCATTAATATTCATTATTGAATAAGAGCATATAACATATTTTATCAATTAATAATCAATTATTATATTAAAATATGATTAATATAATTTAATTTGTATTTTTTATAAAGTAGCCTCCTTAAATTCTAAATTACTTTGCCAAATTGTTTCACGAGATTTAGAAAGACTTAACATTGTTTTTGTCAAATAGTTTTTGGGAATTTAACATTAGGAGGATTTAGTAAATTCAAATTTATAGGCCTTTCTAAATCCTTTTGAGTTAAATCCTTCTTCAATCCAAACAACTCTTAAAAGTATTAAATCCCTCTCTTTTTCTCTGACGAATTCAAAACATACAAAAGATTCAGCTCCCTAATCAAGATTGATTTAATGAAAATTTTGACAATCCAAACAAATCAATGGCATATAGGATGAACAGCAAAGCTGTTAGTTACAGTATTTCTGTCTTCAACTACTTTACGGCATACAAAGGAAAAAACGAACTTAGATTGTTCGGATACGACATTATTGATGAATCACTAAAACATTCAGATTTCTTCTTCACTACATCGTGTTCAGCTTTTCAGCTTTGATGAGCGGATTGGCTTCCTCGAGAAGCAGACGGCCAGCGGTCCGATAGTCAAAAGTACAGCCGTGATCTTCTGGGAGGCGGTGGGCGGCGCAGAAAACACCATTGCAGCGGCATTTGATCGCTCGCATGGCCAACCCCACCTTTCTATCGCACTTTGAGCAGCTCTGCTTCGTCTTCTTCTTAGACTCGGTTGCAGAAGCAGAGTCCTTAGATCCAATATGTCCGTTCTTCTTTCCGCTCCCTACGATCGACGCAAGTTGTTGCGCGGTTTTATTGATATGAGAGGAGAAAATATGATCGCGGAAGCATTTGGAGCAGAGGCCGAGCGTGGCGTCGCTGCCGTAGAATCCACAGCCACTGCTGCAGAGGTCGCGGCCTTCCCCTCTCGCTGCTGGGTTGGATGAGTCCATGAGCAGAGTTTGGATATAGAAGAAAGAGAAGCTTGAGGAAATTACAAGAAAGGATGCAGGCAGTCTCTTCGCTTCTACTTAGTTGCTTTGATGCAGAGGAGAGCAGCTTTGCGTTCTATTTATAAGTTCTTAGGATTTCAAAATTTGTGCCGTTGGTATTTTGGGAATAATAATATATATTTGCAGCAAATTAACTTTCTTAAAATATGTCGCTAAGTGTACGTTAGAATTCAAGCAAGGCTGAGTCACAAATTTCATCTACTTCGATATCTATTTATGATTCAGATATTTTGATTTATCTGTTTATCATAAAATTGAATTTGTTTTACAAATATCGGAATCTTTTATCTAAAAAAAAGTTTCCAGATTTACACCATAATATATTTGTTATAAATGATTAAATCGTTTGATAGATTAATGAATATCCCTCGGGTTTTATAAATATAGGTTTGAAGTTTAATAGGCAAAGGGTATTCTGAATGCAGATATTTTAAAAATATTAATGTTTGATCTGAACTAATATAAATGTAGAGTAAAATTTTAATATAATTGGAATTTACCCTTGTGCATGATAAAATATTCACGAAGGTAGAGAGATGAGTTTAATGTCACAAAGCTCCGGCACAGACATAAATAAGAGAGGAATAAGAGACATCGCATTTTTTAACATAGAAAATCCTGGTAATGAAAAAACTTCATGATCTGGCCTAATTAAAGTAATTCTATTAGTATTTATATTTTGTTACAAGTAAAGCCCTTTCCAAGGGAAAGGTGGATAAATTTTAAAGAATGTGTTAGTTGGTTAAGCTTAGAAGAATTATTTGGCAAGAATCCAACATAAATACAGGTGCTAAAGTCGGTTGACGGAGGTCGGAGGATCCTAGTCGGTCATCCATCCCAAAAATTTTTCAGGATGAGCATGGTTATATGTAGAGTTTCTTAATGAAATTTTGACTATTACACTAAAAAAGGCCTCAATGTTTAAGAGTTTAACTTCTTTTATTAAAGGGGTTTTATAATCTCCCCAACTTAAGTAACTGACATCCTCATCGACATCTTTATCCAAAAATCAACTATCATGAAGATATGATTCTATAGGTGGCCCCTACAAGTTTAAATGGTGACTCCCTCCATGTAGCACTTAGTCTCATACAGGCTTTAAGAGGTGACTCTCGATCATAACATAGCACTTTTTCTTATATGGCACTTAGTTTTCATCTTCCTGCTGGTGTATTGCTCTGATATCATTTGCAACATCTCAAACTCTAAACTATCGAGATATTATCCTCTTTGTCATAAGGGCCTTATTGTTTTGTCATGTTGGTTTGACTTCCTAGGAGGCCACCCTTCCCATAATTTCTTCAGGACGAGCATGCTTAACAAATGAGTTTCTTTATGAAATTCTAACCATTATACCAAAAGTTGCCTCTGTATTTAAGATTTTGACTTCCATACTATAGTTGGTGGGAGAAGGAGGCTAGAAGGACGAAAGGAAATGGTCATAAAAAAATTCCATCGATGAAGGTCTGCTAGTGGCAGCTTGGTGGAGATCTAACAACGGAGGTCAGAGGATCCTAATCAATGAGCGTTGGAGGTCAGAAGGATAATAGTCGGATAACGAAGGTTAAAAGGATAGTGGTTGGGTGACGGAGGGTACTGTCACAACCCAACCTGACCAGGATAGGTCTTAGCATGTTGAGCTGTGATAGACTAATCCCAAGATCCAGATTTGAAATTATTTCAAATTTTTTTGCCAATATTATTGAAATAAACTACAGACTATAAAGCTATTAAAATATCTAAATACTAAAAATAAAATCATTCACTAGGTTTCTTTTAATTCATCAAAATATATATCTACACTACGGAACATGACTACATAAAGGAGCAAAGTAACTAAAATTTAACTAGCCATAAATATATAAAAATTTAAATTGAAAAATACCTATAACCTTAGATCTGACCTTGAACTGCTAGTCCACAATATCCTTCCCCTTCCCAGATCTTAAAAATTAGATGCAAAATCACAGTGAGCTACAATAACTCAGCAAACACACAAACCAATCTACATTTCTAAATATTCTTTTATCAAATATTTTGTTGAATATTTAAAAGCAGTTAAATGCACTCTAATAAATTATTGTACTGAACTTTTGGCTTATCAAGCTCAATTGATAGAGATATAGGATCTATCATGCTTATTATTATTTCTTTGTGATAGCTATGATGGAATTCCTGTAGAAACATGGTTAGAAGAAGATGAATAGTAAATTGAGAAGAAATGCTCATGGTTTATATCGAGGAGCTCGCAGTATATAAGCCCGGAGCGGAGGATATATGGCTACAGTGATTAAGACCGTTAACGATCAGAGTAGTGGTGCAGAAAGAAGTGCTTGTGTAGCCCATGTGACCTGTAGCATTAATAATTACATCTATATATCCCCCCTCAAACTAACGATCTAAGGCACTGATGGTTAGTTTGTTCCTGAGAGTGATGAAGCGAGCTGTGGGGAGCGGCTTCGTCAGAATGTCGGCGATTTGATCTTTGGAGTTGAGATGAGTTGCTGTGATTGTCTGCTTCTGAATGTGATCACTGAGAAAATGATGATCAATTTCAATGTGTTTGGTCCGTGCATGAAACACGGGGTTGTGTGCGAGGGACAGAGCAGAGCATTGTCACAAAAGATGGTGGTCGGTTTGTCGAGAGGTATCTGGAAGTCCAGAAGTAGTCAGCGTAGCCAGATGACATCCGAGAGAGCGGCGACAAGAGCCCTGTATTCGGCTTCAGTGGAGGATTTTACAACCGTAGTTTGCTTCTTAACACTCCATGAGAGGATGTTATTATCGAGAAAGGTACAGAATCCGGTGATTGATTTCCGGTCGGTGGCGTCCGAAGCCCAGTCGGCGTCACAATATGTAGTGAGTTCCAGGGAGCCTCTGGTGATGGGTAGACCAAGGTGTTGAGTGCCATTGATGTAGCGAAGAAGCCGTTTGAGCCGCATGTAATCATGGATGGTCGGATTATGCATAGTTTGACAGATCGTATTGACAGCAAAGGATAAATCGGGTCTGGTTACTGTGAGGTAGTGTAAGGAACCTGCAAGCTGCCTGAACTGTGTTGGATTGTCATATGGTTTGAGGAGAGGTGCAGTTCTGGTTCCGGAGGGGGAGATGGGTGTGCTGGCTGGTTTGCTGTCTTGGAGTCCGGCTGCAATGAGTATATCGCGAGCATAATGTGATTGATGGAGGAAGGCCCCTGTAGCAGTGTATGTAATTTGAATGCCGAGAAATAGGCTGGCTTGACCGAGCTGCTTTAGATCGAAATTAGCTTGGAGTTGTTGTAGGAGAGAGTTGATGATTGATGAGTCATTGCCCGTGAGAAGAAGGTCATCAACATAGATGAGTAAGTAGAGCTGAGTAGTGGTTCGGTTGTAGACGAGTAGTGAGGGATCTACCCGACTGAATTGAAAGCCGAAATGAAGGAGGAATTCTGTGAGCTTGCGAAACCACTGCCGGGGAGCCTGTTTTAGGCCATAGAGTGCCTTGTGTAGACGGCAGACATGGTTGGGATGAGCCCGGTCGACAAATCCTTGGGGTTGTTTCATATATACTTCCTCATTGAGGTCGCCGTGGAGAAACACATTTGCTACGTCGAATTGTAGCAGGGGCCAGTGATGATGAATGGAAATGATGAGGAGAAGTCGTATTGTGGGAATTTTGGCAACAGGGCTGAAGGTGTCTTTGTAGTTTACACCATATTGCTGTGTAAAGCCTTGAGTGACAAGTCTTGCTTTGTATCTGTTGACAGTCCCGTCTGGATTGGTTTTGATTTTGTAGGTCCAGCGACAGCCGAGAACTGGACTACCTGGTGGAGGTGGAGTGAGGGACCAGGTCCTCTGTTTGAGCAGAGCTTCAATTTCTTCGGACATAGCTGCTTGCCAGGAAGGATCCTTGGACGCCGCAGTGTAGGATGTAGGAGGGAGCGCAGAGTCAGTTACAGCAAGTAGATCATACACTTTCTTAGGCCTAGAATGACCCGTTTTGGATCGGGTAGCCATAGAGTGTGTGGGAAGAATGGTTTTGGTTGGTAAAGGTTGTGTGTCTGTGGAAGATGTAGTGATAGGTTGAGTTGGGTAAGGAGGTTCGGTGGTGTTTGGGGAAGAGTTGATAGAGTAAGGTTGGGTGGAGTTGAAAGTCTGATGTATAGAGCTGGGAGTTAGAAGCATTGGGGGGATGTATGTGTCGGATTGTGGGTTGGGAAGGTTTGTGAGAGGTTCCTTGTATGGCTGTAAGTGTTCATAGAAACGTACATGGCGGGAAATATGAAGTTTGTGAGTTTGAGTGTTATAGCAACGATATCCTTTGTGTTGAGGGGAGTAGCCAAGAAAGATGCAAGGTGAGGATCTAGGGGCAAGTTTGTGAGGTGAGTGAGGTAGTAGCCATGGGAAGCATAAGCAACCAAACGATTTGAGGTGATCATATTGAGGCGGTCTTCCTTGGAGAAGAATGAACGGGATTTGAGAGTTTAACGCAGACGTAGGAAGCTGATTTATGAGGTAGTTAGAGGTCTGTAGAGCTTCTGCCCAAAAACGAAATGAGAGATGCGCAGCGTGTAGAAGAGTGCGCGTGGTTTCTAGAAGATGACGGTGCTTCCTTTCGGAGACACCGTTCTGTTGAGGGGTGTTTGGACAGCTAAATTGATGGTGAATGTCATGAGTTTGGAGAAGGTTTTTGAATTTGTGGCTTGTGTATTCTCCACCTGCATCCGAGTGAAAAATTTGTATGGTTGCTTTGAATTTAGTTGTGACCATTGCAAGAAATTGTTTAAATTTTAAGTAGGTTTCATTCTTAGTATGCATTAAGTAGACCCAGCAATAGCGCGTGGCATCATCGATAAACACAGAATAATAACGATAACCGGTTAAGGAAGAGACAGGGGAAGGACCCCAAACATCTGAGTGTATTAAACTAAATGGAGTGGATACATGGTTTGCTTGTTTTGGAAAAGAAAGACGGTGGCTCTTGGACACATTACATGAAGTGCAGACAAAAGAAAGAGAACATTTCTTTAATTCCGGAAGAAGTGTAGATAGAGCGGCCATTGCACGGGGATGAGCATGACCGAGGCTAGTGTGCCATAT